TACAGAAATGGCAGAGTGATGTTCACACTTCATCAAAAGCTACATGTTATAGGATTTTTAAAAATAATTGTCATTTTGAAAATTACTTAGATATTTTAAGTGATAAGGATAGAGTTACATTTTGTAAATTTAAGACTACTAATCACAAATTCATTGTTGAAACCGGCAGATGGCATAATATAGAGTATAATGAAAGAAAATGTCCACACTGTAACAGTCAGCAAATTGGTGACGAATTCCATTACTTGCTTGAGTGTCCGTCACTATCTGGGTTTCGAATTTTATACATAGACAAATATTTTTGGACGAGACCAAATGTAATTAAGTTTAATGAATTGATGAATACTACTAATATAAAAACACTGAAGAAACTTTGTACTTTTATTAGAATAATTAATAACAGTATTTGACCTCCTCGATATAAATGTGTATATATTATAAAACAGTACTGTGTACTACCGACTACGAACACTACAATTACTATATATTATATTGTATTGTATATGTTTCTCTATACATTGTATTGTGAAAGAGAATAAAGTTGAATTGACACTTTTTAAGAAACAGACTTTAATCCCTATCAAAACAAGTTGCCCTACAGGTAAATTAAAAATGTATGCGTTCAGGGAATCAGCCGTCATAGTGACGTCCGACTGGTTTGGTCACATTCCACAGATCACTTGTACACTTACACTAGACAAGGTTCCTTACACAACAGGTCACACAGGTACATGTACAACAGGTCACACAGGTACATGTACAACGGAACAAACCCAAGTACTAAAATATATAGCATGGGTTACATTCATCTTATCGCAAATTGCCTCATCACTGAGGTAATATGGATTTAACAAGTAAATGACGATAATTCTACTTGACAATACGGTCACTCTATGGAACTATCCTAATAACAGTGTTATAATTGTCTGACATAAAGGTTAAAACTAAGATTTTATCTTACTTACAAAAATAAATAGTCTTGCTTCGCATTGCTAGGATGAGTAGAGGTTCGCTCATACCAAATCCAGTCTGCACAACCCAATGTGTTTGGTTTACCACAGAAAAACGAGAAGTTATAGTTCTGGGATGTAAAGTTGCAGTATTCTGTCACATTAGGAATATTTGGTACAACGCTGCATAACGTTGATTCTCTCACGGTTTGTTTTTCAAATCCTGCTTTTAAGAACGTTATCAACCCGTATTTATGTGCGAGATTCATATAAATTCCGACATGTTCCTTTGTATTTCCAATAGAAAACATCAACTCTGGACTGCCGGCCCACATAGCTTTGACAATCCCCGTGTAGGAGCCGTCATCATGGTCAACCACATAACCGGAAACGGAAGCATTAAGGGAAGGTTCTCGGAGCCACACCCTGAGCATGTCACCTCCCTGTGTTGACCGCTCTCCTCTTCCGTTGTACAACACAATGTCGACTTTAATGTCATCTCCGATTATGACGTCAGATTTATTGTTCCTTATACTTACCATTGATGTAGTGATATTCACTAACGATATGAAGTCGGTGAAGTTCATATATGTGTCCAATCGTTCTAAAGCTTTCATTGACAAGGTCCGGCGTTCATCAAAATCGTATTCTTCTTTTGGACACGGGAACACTGCTGGAGTTAACCTGTATAGGATAAACAGACATCCGTTATTTGTGGACAGCTTTGCTTTTTACACTCTGCCAGTAAGATTGGTTGATTACATCACTCTGACTGGAGAGATATCAAAAGTTATTTCGGTCCCAGGATGAAGATAATTATGATATGTCGGTACCATATATGATAATGAAGGACTATTTTTGCTCTAGTGTAGGTACCCGCTAAATCTTAACAAAAACATCGTCTTGCTCCTATAAGCAACACTGTTCATGCCTATGCCAAGCCAACTTAACATTTATTCAAGGAGCAATGTCGATCCTGTATTTCAAAAAAAAAAAAGATATCTTATATAGCATATGAAATATCTTATATCGTATATAAGATATCTTATACCGTATATAAGATATCTCATTTAATTTTCTATATAAGATATCTTATATAATATATAAGATATCTCATATAGCTATATAAGATATCTTATATAATTAAAGTCTCGTTACTAAATAAGATATCTTATATAGGAACGAGATTTTAACAAAATGTCGAAAATGAAGTCTCCCCGTCCGGAATATCTCGAGGATCTACGTAGGGACAGTAGGCTTGTTGTAACAACACGTGTTCCTGGCGCCGCCATTATGTCTGAGCCCACTTCAAGAGTGCGGGAAATGGCAGCATCTGCTTTGGCCGCAATAAGAGAGACAAGGCGAGCTAGGCCTAGGGAAAATACAGCATACGTACCATCCCTCTCCGCCATTGCGCCCAATGCAATCCTGAATGTGCTCCGAATGATTCTCGAGGGAGAAATTAGTTTCTGGTTTTTAATGCCACGAAATCTCATTCTATATCAGATATCTTATATAGCAACGAGATTTCAATTATATAAGATATCTTATATAACTATATGAGATGTCTTATATATTATATGAGATATCTTATATAGAAAATTAAATGAGATATCTTATATACTTATATAAGATATCTCATTTAATTTCTATATAAGATATCTCATATAGTATAATGCAGATTCTGCTGATATCGAAGGTTATACTGCATTTTGTAAACACAGAAAATGTTTGTCCACTACTAAATCTGGTGGCATAGATGTCTACTCTAAACATGAATAAACTGATTGTAATCACATTGTGGGGCTCAAAATGAAGGGTGATGTTTTTAAATATAATGGTCATATGCCATTTGGAATAGTTTATATACCTCCCAGTAGTTCAAAGTATTCCTCGCCTGAACTTTTTGAAGACGTGGAAAATGATCTATTATCTTTCCAAACACAGGTTAACAAATATATTTGCTAACTTGCTAACTTTAACGGTAGAACTACAGATCTCCCTGATTTCTTTGAAGCTGAAGTTGATGATTATGGTTATTTTTCCGATGTAAATAACCTTACTGATTTCAATGTACCTAGACAAAGGTCATCTAGGGACACTGTAAAAAACGATTATGGCAAGCGTTTACTTGACCTGTGTAAACACTGTAATATATTTATACTCTATGGCCGCATGGGTGAGGATAAAAGTATCAGTAAACTTACATGTAAAAGTATAAGTGTAATTGATTACTGTATAGGTAACATAGACACACACTTGGTATTGTGGACGAATTTTCTATCAATGAATTCTCACCCTTGTTATCCGATGTACATTCCCCGTTAAACATATGTCTGCATTTGTGTGATAATAATAACATGTATGAATACTGGGGTAACTTATAAAACAAGTAAACCCAGAAAGTGGAATGATGACTTTAAATGTGTTTTTGTAGATTTTATAACTGAACAACGCCATTGTATCAATAACCTTGTTGAAGAATTACATAATCACACAAATGTTGACGATAGTGGTAATTTTATCAACTCTATCATTAATGATATATGTGAACTATTTATAAATGGTGCCAAATATGCATTTGGAACAAACCACGATAAGCCAAATTCTGTTAATAAATAAAAAAAAAAAAACCTTGGTTTACGAGAGACTGTAATTTTGCTCGCCAAAATTATAGAAAAGCCAACGGTTATACAAAAAGTTTGGTAATGCTTACCTCAAAGAAGGAATGTATGTAAAGGAACGGTTGTATAAAAAACACTTAATCGTTGTGTCATCAAGCATAAGTTAGAGATTAAAAATAAACTCCGGACACTTAGGCCAAGAAATCCAAAACAATATTGGAAAATAAATAATACAGGACGTTCCAAAAAAGTAGCTGTAAGGCTGGTATTGAAGATCTTTTTAAGTTTTTTAATTCATGTTTTAACAAAAAAATTGAAGGTGAGGATGTTTTCTATTGATGAGCTTGCTGAGCTGTCAAAACTGGAAACTAATGCTATTATAAATGAGCCAATACTGCCGAACGAAATAACGAAATGTGTTAAAATGTTAAAGAATAACAAGGCTGTTGGTGACGACATGCTATGTAACGAATATATTAAGTCAACCATTGATTTAATGATGCCATTATATGTTGAATTATTCTATTATATTTTTAACACTGGTCACGTGCCTGAAACCTGGCTCCTGGGAAACATTATCCCTGTTTATAAGAACAATGGTAGTTTGTATGATGCCACTAACCATCGTCCAGTTACTTTGGTCAGTTGTCTAGCTATATTGTTTAAAGCTATAATTAATAAACGATTAAATAAATATGCAGATAATGTAGAACTCATTCTCGAAAATCAAGCAGGGTTTCGAAGAAATCACTCCACTATTGACCATATATTTTCACTTCATGCATTAATTGAGCTATCAAAACATTTTAAAAAACAATTATATTGTGCCTTTATAGATTTGAAAACACTTTTGATAATGCTTGGAGAAAAGGCCTTTGGAACAAACTTTTGGTTAATAACATAGATGGAACATGTTTCCGAATTGTTACAAATATATGTACAATGACATTAAGGCTAGAGTGATGAAATATGGCGTATTCTCGAATGTATTCCCATGTAGTTCTGGGTCCGACAAGGCGATGATCTTTCCCCGTTTTTATTTTCACTTTTTCTTAATGATTTAGAAGATTTTATGAAATCACGTGATTGTAAAGGTCTGTCTAATATAAACGACCAACTAGAGGAGGATTTACATGCATATATGAAGCTTTATGTTATGCTATACGCTGATGACACTATATTACTATCAGACACGGCAGAGGATTTGCAAAAGCAATTAGATGTATGTTTCGAATATTCCAACCTATCAGCAAAACTAAAATCATAATATTTGGTAAAAAAAGAATTCCTGATGGCCTTACTTTTACATACAACGGTACTGTTATAGGAATAACTAAGGATTTCTAATATCTTGGGATTTATTTTACTAAAACTGGCTTGACACAGTTTAATATTAGACAAATGTATGGTGCTATTCCCAAATGTAAGGATCATAATTTGTCAATAGATTGTCAACTTGATATATTTGACAAAGTCATCAAACCTATTGTTTTATATGGATGAGAAGTTTGGGGTTTATGTAACTATAAACGTATCGAACGTTTACATTTAAAATTTTGCAAACACATACTTAATGTTAAAACGTCTACACCGAACTTTATGATATACGGAGAACTTGGAAGGTTTCCGCTAGATATTAGTGTCAAAGTAAGAATGGTCGGATTTTGTGCTAAATTGACAAAAAACAACCAGAATAAATTAAGTAATAAACTGTTAGCAATTTTATCAAATTATGAATCATCATGGCTAAAATATGTGAAAAGTATTTTTGAAGAATGCAGTCTGATACATTTATTTAATAGTCAGGAGTTTCCAAGTATACATAGGCTAAAGAGTACCATATTTTATACACTAAAAGGAAAATTTATATCAAACTGGAGAAATGAAATTTACACTTCTCCGAAAGGAACCAATAATAGAATATATAATAGATTATGTAGTTAATGTTATTGAAGAGAAATTGGCGACGAATTTCATTATCTGTCCACATGTACACATCAACCAATTCTCAATAGTAGGCGAAAACATATGTCCAGATATTATTATAAAAGACCAAACACATTTAAATAGCATACATTACTCAAGTATGTAACACAACATGAATTGACATCATTGGCTAAATTTATTACCGATATTAATGACATAATTAATTTACAATACTAATCTCCATCCTGTTCCACCATGTATTATTGTCACCCATTTGTATTTATGTATTCTCTACACTATAATGTTTATGAGAATCAAACAATTTTCATTGTCATTGTCATTGTCATTGAACCATCATATGCTTCTTCACAAACTCATATGTTATGGAATGTCAGATATGTGCCTAAGATTCTTTTCTTCATAGTTTAAGGTAGGCACCCATGCGTAAATTTTAAAAGTGAATTGTCCAATTTTGCACCTGTGACAATTGATGTTCTTCAAGGATCCATCCTTGGGCCCTTGTTTTTTATACTTTAATATCTAAATGACTACAGTAAACTTGTCCATCATTGTTCTGTCACTATGTACGCTGATGATACTTCACAGGATGTAGCAGGGACTTCTGTTAACGATGTTTAATTTAGTCTGTCAGAGGATCTGAAGCTTACAGTAAAGTAGATGAACAAGAACAAGCTTAGTTTGAACCTGAATAAGACTCAATGCATGATGATTGGCTCATCCCAAAAGCTATCAAGGGAAAACTTAAACTCGAGATCAATGGTCATGTCATTGAAACTGTACATAGTGCCAAACTTCTTGGTGTTATTATTGAGAATGTTTGAGCTGGAAGAACCATATAGAATATGTATGTAAGAAAATATCCAAGAAGGTTGGTGTTTTAAACGTGTAAGACCATTTATGTCCATCTGTATGGCAAAAAAAGTGTTCAATAGCATTGTTTTACCACACTTTTTATATTGTTCTGTGATATGGTGTACTCCATCTAATATGGAATATTTAAACAAACTGTTTATGCTTCATAAACGGGCAGCAAGAGTAGTTCATAAAGTCATATACTTTTTTACCCCAACCTCTGTACTTTTACAACTTTTAAGGTGGCTCCCGTTACAGAAA